TATATGACGTTATTGTGTTGCAAGTGCCGTAAAACTCTTACGAAATAAGTAGGTAAGGTCAAAATTTAATCTTTTTCTCGGCAATAGTTTAGAAAAACCAATAGAAATAACTCACCTCCCCTTTTTTTCTTCCCTCACATTTCCTAAGATAACCTCCAGTGGGTGTTTGGTGGGTGCTTTGCTAAAGTTTGCTCCTTCTGTCCTATTACTATTAGGTATCTATCTTCTTTATCTATCTCTTCCTTCTTTTATTTGTATGTTACTCTCTGGTAACACTTTTACTCTTCGGCACTTGTGTGAGCTAGCCATGTTGTAAGTACCGCGACATTCTTACTAAACTTAAGAAAAGATGCATCGGTGGCCTAGTGGTTAGGCTCTCAGAATAGCAACCGTAAGGGCGTGTGTTCGAATCCCGTCAGGGATCCGGCGTTGTGTCCTTGGGAAAGGTACTTTACTCAAATTTTCCTCATTTCACTCAGGTAGGAATGAGTACCCAGCAAAAGACAGTGAAAGATCTTGTCAGTTTGTTAGTGTTTGAGCGCTTAATCAGCTGCTTGCACTGTAAGCTTCCCGAGAAGCTGAGAATGTTTCTGAGTATTCTATGGTCTGCTGGGGTAATGAAACAGTGTAAAGCGAATAGAGCTTGCTGCAGAGCGGGGTTATGTGCTATACAAATGCTATTTATTATAATTATTATTGTTAAAAGGTGATTTCTTCTACTTCTCACAATGGTCTAAAAAGACAAGAAACTTTAACAAAAGATCGACCCCCCCCCCCAAAAAAAAAACGACAAGGAAAAAAACAACCCAAAACGACGTTAACAAAATAATACACCTAAAACAAAATTGTGACAACGTGTGATGTGATGGTCTATGGTTCCATGGGGGCAAGAAGCTTTAGTGAAAACAGCGATTGTGTGGCATTATGGTGAAATCAGGCGCTCGCCGAAATAATGAAATCGGGGAAACTGACAGTGTTCCGAATGTTTGGCAATTTTGTATCGATTTTTGTTTGTTATGAGCGTAACAACTTTTATGCCAACTTAAAAAGGCTTTCAGGTATAGATTTTATTAACAAACAAGTTGTTCAAAAAGCACCAACATTTTAAAAATAAATTTGCACTTTCCAAGGGCACTACCGCAGTTTTGAAAGTCACCAAACTTTGGTGGCCGTTTTCTTGCTAAATCTAACTCTTTTACTAGGTAAAACCCACCTTCTTCAGTCCCTTATGAAAAACATATCATCGATGAATAGGCTTTGAGATCATACCAATTCTAGTATCTGAATATGCCACAAACATTGACGAGCACCTGATTCCATCGTATCATGACACATTTAATACTTCACACGCGTCTGGGCCCTTACACTGACACGGCCTTTCCAGTCTTAGCCTCGTACCCTTTTCCCAAGTGGGTGAAACGAGAACACTGTGTGTGTAGATTCCAATGGAATTTGTCTAAGACGGCCATCTACTGTTTAGGAGAAAAGTATTTGTCATAGACAAGTGGAATGTGTCTTACACAGTGTCTTTATGAGGTAGAAAAAAGCAGAAAAGAGGGAGGGGG